AAAATAATAATTTGAAATGGCTACATACTAATTTATATAATTTTTTAATACACATTTTTTCATAAAAAGTCAAAAAATTAACCCAAACAACAATATTTTCTTCCTCAACTTTCTAATTTAAAAAATTAAAAAGTACACTTATTTAAGATATTCCAAACAACCCCTTAAATTTATGTGTTTTCAAAAATTATTTAAAAACATAATAATTTGTGTTTATTAAATTAAATTTTTATATTTAAAAAATAATAAGTTGAAATGAGAGAGAGAGAGAAAAGTGTGTGAACGGTGTGTGTGTCAGTGAGGGAGGGAGGGAGAGAGAGAGTGTGTCACAGTGTGTGACTGGTGTGCGTTTTGACATAAAGTGCCTGTTTGGCAGAGCTTAATTACAACTTATTTTAGCTTTCAGCTTAATTTAAGCTATTTTGATGTGTTTAGTTTAGCTTATAACTTATAACTTATAGCTTTTTGGAAGTCAGAAATCAGCTTATTTTTTGAGTGAGGCAGGAGATACTTTAAGAATAAGCTGGAAATCAGCTTAAGCTGAAAGTTATAAGTTATAAGCTGTTGAGGCATAAGCTATAAGCACTTTCCCATAGCTCTACCAAACAGGGCCAAAGACGGGTTCAGACAGAAATATAATTATAAAAAAAAAAAAAAATGAGGGGTAATAAGGTAATTCCACCTTTACTAAGGGCACAAATGACTTGATTGCGACATAGAATAGGTGTGTAGGATAAAATTACAGACTTTTTGATTTTTTTTAATAATTTTTTGACTTTTACATTAAAATAAACGTTTGCCAAACGAGACCTAAGTCTTATAAAAGATTATACAATACTAATATACTTTTCTCAATTTTTGTACAAAAAATGATAAAATTTTAGTATAATTATATTACCACATCACCATCAATATGTGATATTAGTAATTAATAGTAAAATAAAACAATACATATAGAGTGAACCATACTTGTTGAATAAAATTAACAATCCAAAAGCCTCCACATTTGCATTTTGGAGTTAATTATGTTTATATTCCAGTCATGAAACTTTCGGCCTTGGGAGGTGTGTTGGTAAGCGTGTGCGCGGTGTGATTCGGACAGTTTGAGAGTAAAATTACAAGTCGAATGGCGGATTGACGAATTGACAAATTGCGATTTAGGCGATTTTTGACAGATTGATGGATTGAATAATATTCTAACCATTTATCATACATTTAAATAATATATAACACTAATTCGTATAATATTTTTTAGATATATATAATATAAAGTAATTTTATATAATATGTTTCATATATGTAACTATTAATTTGTAATAAATTTATATGTTAAATCTCTCTTATACTTATTTTTATATTGAAATTTTATTAGAGATTAAAAAATATATATATGTATTAATTATAATAGAGTGAAACGATTCAATTGATGAATTATAAATTTTAAAATTTAAATCACAATTAACAATTAAAGCAGTACAAATTAATACAAATCGATGGGAGTTTAAGACAGCCTTATGGCTTATTTTGGGAAGATGGTAAAAAGTGATTTTTTAGCTTTTAACCAAGCTTTTAGCTTTTCTAGACAAATGATTTGAGAAGTCGGTAAAAAGTAAATTTTGACTTTTTTTATTAATGTTTGTTTATGATGTCAAATCATAATAAAATGATCAAATTACTCCCATTTATTTAAAATATTTACGATTTTACCTATGTAACACATTTTGACTCATGTGGATAAAATTGTAATTTCACCGTTGACTAAAAATCAATTTCCCAAATGAAAAAAAAGAGACAAAACAATAAACTTTTAACTTTTACTACAAATTAAAAAAAATGACTTCTAACCAACTTACTAAAATAGCCGTATGTGTTGGCGTTGTCTCCCGTATGAAGAGTGCAACATTGGTTTGGGAGTGCAGCAGTGTTGTCGGGAACTGTGTTGGAATATTTGTTGTCAGGCCTGGGTCTTGACAATGGATTGTGTGGGCTACTGAAAAGGTGAGTGTTGTTACTTTTAATGGTGGAATTGTAGACTGCAACAGCATGGGTGAAGTTGTTTTGGCAGTGCAGCACATGGGAATTTTTTTTGGTTAGTGTGGTCTGGGTTGTTTTGGGGTTTTCAATCGGCTTATTTGGTTTATTTTTTTAAAAACAGTTTTTAAAAAATGTTATTTTTTTATTTGTATTGAATTTTTTTAATATTTTAAGTAATTTTTTTAATTTTTAAATATACTTAATATAAATATATTTAAAAAATAAAAAAATTGTGAATTTTTTTTTTAAAATTTACTAAATATTAAAAATACAAAAAAACGAGAATTCAGTATATTTTTTATATTTTTATATATTTATTAATTTTTTTAAATATTTTTCACAAATTTTTTTACTTTTTAGATACATCTAAGTACAGTGTATTTAAAAAAATAAAAAAAAATGCTTAAAATTTAAAAAATATTCACTAAAAACAAAAAAAAATACGAAAAATAAAAAACTTAATTTAAAAAAAATATAATTTAGAAAACTCAAACAAAATATACTAAATTATTTTATTTTAAAAATTAAGTGCTATAGTTTTGGGTGAAAAAGAAGTGTGAGTTGCTTTGTGGGGTTTCAATTATTTGGGTTTTCAATTATTTTATTTTTAAAGTTAAGTGCTGTAGTTTTTGGTGGAAAAGGATAGTGTGAGTTGTCTCGTGGGGTTTCAATTATTTTATTTTTGAAGTGAAGTCCTTGGCTTTTGATGGAAAAGAATCGTGTGAGTTGGTGGAAACGAAAAGTTGATTTGGGTTGAAAAGAAGGGTGTGGTAGCAGCTTGGGTGCTTTTGCTGTGGGTTGATTTTGTGGGATTTATGTATTTTATTTTTAGTTAAGTTATTTTTAACTTTTTTATTTTATTTTTTTTATTTTCTTGGTTTATTTTTTATTTTTGTTTAAAAAAAATTGTGAGGCTGAAGGGTTACTTATATGGATATGAGTAGCAGCACTAAAAGTAATTATATTTTTTGAATCTCTCTCGATACATGTGATTTTCTTTTACTTTTACTTTTACTTTTATACTATTAGTGAAATTTTTCTTTACCTATCAAAAAAAAAAAAAAACAATCACCATTGTTTTTCATAATTTTAAAAATATCATTAACAAATCATTCAAATAATTTTTAATTGTAAACTATTTTCTTTATAACATATGTACAAAAAAAAAATCTGAAATTGAAGGGGGGGGGGATGACCCCTGGACCATTCATAGCTCCATCACTGGTTGTGGTAAGATATGAGAACAATTTTGCATTTTGGAGATCTTTTGGACTTGCAATCAGCGGTGAAATCGGCTCGGTTCAGCTCGGTTCGGTCGATTTTTTCATTAATTTTGTACCAAATCGATCATTTCGGTTTTTCATATTTGTGAACCGAACAGCACAGAAAAATAACATAAACCGGAGCGGCTCGGTTTATTACGGTGCGGTGCGATTTTTTTGGTTTTTCGATTTTTTAGCCTTTTTTTTTTCCTAGTTGGGCCTCACATTTTGAGCCTATATTTCTATCCATTTTGCATAAAATTTGGGCTCAGGCCATGTAATTCCTACATAGGTTTGGAGCCTCACATTTTAGGCCTATTAATATTTTATAAGTCGGTTCGGTGCGGTTCTGTTCGGTTCAAAAAATTAAAAACCATAAACCGAACCGAATGTACAGAAAAACATAAACCGAACCGAACCGAACAATTGAAAACTTAAAACACCAACCAAAAACCGTACAGTTCAGTCGGTTCAATCGATTTGGTCGGTCCTTTTCACCCCCTACTTGCAGTATGATTGTTAACAACAATTGTAAATAAATAAAAAAAATATTATTTACCTAAGAAGCATAGTTACAGGAACCTGGGGGTGTTGCTGTGCTTTCATGGAGGATTTTTTCGAGTCTTTTTTTGATGATCTAAACCATTCATATTGTAAGATTTGTTAAATAGATCATCCATGCAAAAAATCAAATTGATTGGAAATCTATAACTTTATAACAATAGTACATTTTTTTAAAAAATAAACGGTTAACATTATCTCGATAATTTTTATAAAACAATTTGAATCTGATCTGATCATAGGTTTACGAATTTCTGAATAACTTGATTTTTTGTGTAAATCATATACTCGACGAATCTTATAATATGAACGATTCGAATTATCGAAAAAGACTCGAAAAAAGCCCCAAGAACTTATAGCGGATCCCTACTGTGACTTGGTTGCAGCAGCCCCAGGTCCTAGTGACAGACTCGAATATGGATACGAGACAATTGTTTTTTAACAAATCCTCATTGTTTGGATTTCAATCGTTGTTTTTTAACCCGGTTTGAAGGGTGAGTTCTACGCAAATGTTTATTTAATTTGATATTAGAATCACCCGCCATCGAGTGTTAGGTCGGACCAATCTATGGGTTGTACTAATTGGTGAGTAAAGTATTATTCACATCTCTTATTTTAATACTTTTTTCTATCTTTTTATTTACTTTAAGTTATAACACCTCTTTATTTTTTTGTATATCTTTTTAGAGTAATACTAGTAATTATGAAAAAAAATATCATGAAGATGATTATGAAAGATCATTCACCTTTAGATTATACATACAATAAAATATCACACACTAATCAAAGTATGAAAAATCTTCATAATATATTTCATGATATATTTTTTATGTTCCCTAATATAATTTATTTTTTTATAAAAAAAATTAAAAAATATACTTATTTAGATCATTCCTAACGCTCTTTAAGTAAAACCGCCAAAAAAGAAAAAGCGTTACCATTTCGGGTCATGGGTTTCGTCCACAGAGTAAAGAGACCTTTTGTCTATTTTTAATAGTGAGTGAGAAATTGTATCAAAATTGAAGTACAAAAAATAAAAAATAAAATTTTCTAAAAACTATTTTCAGAAAAAACGAAATCAAAATTAGTATTATGTCCCAGACTAAAACATCAAGCTAATTAAAATAGTTCCAAATATAAAATATTGTAGGATAAGTCGTTGCAGCCGCGAGCCTTGACGCTGAGCTTCAGAAAACGGCGTTGGCCCTGCTGCACAAGGTGGCATATTCTAGTGGCCGCCGCCACCGTTAGCGTTAGCGTTAGCGCTTGCCGCCGTACGGCGGTTCCCACCTTCTCCGCCGCTGCCATTCTTTCTCTCTCTCGACATGTGCCATTTTGCTCCATTTTCATTGTTAGTGTATCATTGTGTTAATATTGTATATAATTGTATAATTGTATACCTTTACCTTTAGTCCACTTTCGGTAGTAATTGTATAATTGTATACCTTCACCTTTAGTCTACTTTAGGTGGACATCATCATAGGCATGCTTTCGGTGGACATCCTCCAAGGCATCCAAGGCATCCATTTCTCTCTATAAAAGAGAGTGCCTTCTCTGTGTGTAATATACATTCTTTTGACAGATAAAACAATTGTGCCTCTCTCTCTCTCTATCCTTTCTCACTTTCTCAAATTATTGTTTCATGGTATCAGAGCCCAGAGTTACATTTCTGGCAATTTGCGATTTTGGTGTTTAGTCCCATACACAGCGGCACTACACCAAACCACTCGAAATTTCCTCACGATTCCAACGGCACCAAGCCCGGCCTCAGAAAACCTTTCACGCGCCCACACACGCCGCCGGTGTCCACTGCGCGTCATCATTTCCGCCACCACTCTCACACGCTCCCGCACGCGCCATCCGTCGTCTGTCACTTCCGACACGCGCCCACACGCGCCCACACGATCCGCGGCTGACGTCAGCCCTGTCTCTTCCGTACGCCGCGCCTGCTACTGTGCGCCTCTCGTGCGCCATTTCACTACTGTGCACCCGCGTGCGCCGAAACAACTACCGTGCGCCGCGTCTGCGCCTGGCCGCTATCGTGCACCGCCGCTTCCTGCTAACGTGCTCCTTTCTGCACTCTGCTAACGTGCGCCGCTGACATCTTTGCTGACATCATCTCTGTCCAGCATACCTTTCCTGGCTATTTTCGACCTTCCGGACTCACTGGTACACTCTGTTTTACCTAATTTTGCTCCTACAGGTCTATCCTATTACTTTAAACCCTATTCAACTAGTATTATGGATCGTCTTGATGCCTCCCATCCTATTTCCGTTATTTTGAATGGTTCAAACTATGTTCTGTGGGCCCAAGCCATGTCCTCCTTCCTCAAAGGAAAGAAGCTTTGGCGAATTGTCACCGGGGATGTGACTAAACCGATGAAAGACAGTGACACTAATGAAACTACTGTTCCTACTGCTACATTTGAAGACCGACTTGAGGAATGGGACAGTAAGAATTACCAAATCATTACCTGGTTTCGTAATACCTCTGTTACATCTATCAGTCTTCAGTTTGGTCGCTTTCAGCTTGACTCTGTAACTACTCCTGCAAAAGACATCTGGGATTTCTTGAAAGAACGATACCAGACTACTGGTCTTGCCCACCAATATCAACTTCAGAACCAACTTCATCGCATGCGCCAAGAATCCACTCAGTCCATTAATGACTTCCTTTCTCAAATGTACTCTGTTTGGGATCAGCTTGCTCTTTCAGAACCAACCTGGCATGACCCCGAAGATGCAATTTTATTTACTAACCATCGCAACCAGCAAAGGTTGGTACATTTTCTTATGGCTCTTACTTCCTCCTTTGAGCCCGTACGTGCCTCTCTGCTTCATCGCCATCCATTGCCCACTCTTGAACAAGCAATTTCCGAGTTGCTATCAGAGGAGACGCGTCTCGGTACTCTTCAAACTCATCATGTGGACTCTGTTCTTGCCACTCCTCCGTACTGGCCATCATTTACCCAACGGACCACTGCTTGCCTCTATTGTCAGAATCGGGGCCTTCCTTCAACCCATCTCCTGGTCAATTGCCCCGTCAAATCCTGCCGCTACTGCAACAAACTTGGTCCTAGTCATCTGCAACAGGATTGTTTTCGCAATCCATCCCGATCATCGTCCAATAGCCACTCCTCTCGCGGTGGCTCCTCCCGGGGAAGCTTTCATCGTTCCGGGAATCAGTCTCATCACACTACT